CATCCTATATATTCAAGAGCTTTTTATTGTCATTGCACCAGTGTACAACGACATTGACTTTGTGCTCGTTAAAGACAGCTCAGGTGGTAGTGAAATATAAGTAAGTAGCATACATGTGAATATACAGTCTGGCCACGACCCATAGACAAAGTTCAGGCGTAGGGTGGAATCTAGGGTTCTTTTAAACTTTCCCCACAAGCTGACAACAAGGTTTGCATACCTGGAAACTCTGAGGTTGTGAAAAAGGTGACTACAGTGCTCTCATCACGTGTTTCTACTCCAGCGTCCTTAAATCTTCTGGTGCCCAGATCCATTTACTGGGGTTTGTTTTCAACGAGTAAGGCTGTAGCAGACTGGTGGTCATTTCCTACCAGACATAGTAGTCGTTACTAACATTACTGGCTGTGTTTACTCCGAACTCATCTCCAAAACCAAAATAATAATAATAATAATACCACAACCAGACTTGGGAAAAATCTATTAATGTTAATGTTAATTAAAGTCCTTGACAGAAAACTGTTATTTACTGATGATTTTGTTCTATTTGACAAACTTTAGGCTCAAAATTGCTGCGAGAAGTTATAGCGACAGCACTCATACTCACTGTGGCCCAATCTCAACACTCGCACTTGCACCCTTCAATTGCGTGTTCCGAGCCAGGGGTGTGAGTGCGTTGAGTGTTCCGATTCTCAAGTGCGAATGTTGGCCACGCCCCCATTGCACCCTTAATCTGCACTTCACTCAAGTCCGCAGCGATGCGGACCTCAGATAAGGGTATTACCCACAAGTCATTGCTGCAGGAGAAAAGGCTCAAGTTCCTTTTCTGAAAATATGTATTTTCTAATGAAATTAGTTCATTTTACAACGATTAGTTGATGCTCTGAATGTTTTAGACAAAGCAGCAATGAAGTAAAATTTATTTCAAATAATTGCTTTGTTGTCTGTTTGAAAGTTGTTAATAAAGGTTTTTGAAAAACGTTTCACAGCGACCAGCATCCCAGCATGCGTTGCGATCGAAGATGCAATGCTCCCTGACTCAATTCTGCGAATAGTTGCACACTTGTGCACTACGCACGCGAACCCTACTGCACACTGTCTCCAAGTGCACTTTGCTGAAGACTGCAGGGCGAGTACTGAGATTGGGCCTGCGAGTGCCACTCTGCCCCATCGTCTGCAGCGTGCCGTCTCCGACTGTGATTGGTCAAATGATGACACATGACTAACACAATAGAACAAAGATTGTAGACAAGAGTCCCCTCTCTTTTCTCTGGCTGATTTCCATAAGAGTGACTGAAATCCATCGTTGAAACCAGACAGAAGACCCCCCCCCCAAAACAAGAACTTTTCGGATCTACACGACTCGCGTGAATGCCACATTTGGGTTCAAAAACTGCGATTTTTGCTGCAACAAGTTTGCACGTATGTATTGGACAGCAAAAAATGTGCATAGCTGCGGATGTCAGTCAATGGCCCGTCCACCATACGCCATTGAAGAAGACGTAAATACATTCCTATCCTAAATAAAGGAATTAAGTACCTCTATCTGTTCTTGACTCAAAGAGAAGCCCAAGTCTAAATAGTCCAAAGTTGATGTCAAAGCCATTTCAAACGAGCTGCCGCCATCTTAGTTGTTTCGCTCTGTCGCATCATTCCGTCCACCCGACCAAAACACAAAGCTGGTTGGGTCTGCTGAAGCTGCTATGGAATGTGGCTAGACTGTCCTGCAGAGCAGAATCTTTTTGCTTCTGCTACAATCTGCCTCCACTCAAGACTTTTAACATTGTTTTGGTTTTTTAAACATATGAGAAGTGTAGAATTGCACGAGTCAGTAAAAAATAACCCTACGCAGAACTGCTGCGATTTATAGTGCATATCCAGGCGTAACATTCTTTTTCACAGTAATCCCGGTCAGGTGGAGGGTAAAACATGCTCATGTCTCAGAAGATAACACAAGCATGTATTTTAGATTTGCCCTTTCCCACTAATCAGGAAACAACCCGTCAGATTTTTCTGGAGCCACTAGAGGTTCACAGCTTTGACTGAAAAACTTTAATACTTTTACAAGATGCAGCAGCAGCAGATCACAGAGGTAAACAACCTTTTCTTTTGTCATGTTTACCATTTTGTTTGTAATAATAGAAACTATCCACTCATTTTCAAGACCAAGTTCATTTTATTCAATAAATTTGCAGTGGTCTGATTATAGAATAGAATAGAATAGACTTTATTGTAATTGCTCATGGCAATTAAATTACAGATGGTCTGCCATCAACAGTGCACAAGACAATAAATGACAATAAATGTGAAAACCATAAAGGACTAAAAACAATTTAAAAACATTTAGCAACAACAAGAAAGTACAACCAGTGGTTCGGATCTGCTAAAACAATAATTTAAAATGATTTAAAACAGATGAGTCCACATTACCGATGGGGCTGCGGGGGGTTGAATGGTGCTGTTGTGTTGAATGTTCTGATGGCCCAAGGGAAGAAGCTGTTGGAAAGTCTGGTGGTGTGTGATTTAACTGACCTTAAGCGGCGCCCTGAGGGCAACAGGTCAGACAGGCAGTGGGCAGGGTGGGCGGGGTCACGGAGGATAGCAGCGGTTCTCTTCAGGCAGCGGGTTCTGGAGATGGCCTCCAGGGATGGCAGGGTGCAGCCAATAATCCTCTGGGCGGTGTTTATTGTCCTCTGAACAGCCTTCCTGTCCTCAGCAGAGGAGCCTGCATACCACACACTCAGGGAGTAGGTGAAGGTGCTCTCCACGGAGCAGTGGTAGAAAGCCAGCAGCAGTTTCTCATCCAGGCCACACCTTCTCAAGACCCGGAGAAAGTGCAGCCGCTGCTGAGCCTTTTTAACCAGAGCTCTGGTGTTGGCAGACCAGGACAGGTCAGCAGAGATGATGGTGCCGAGGAACCTGGCGGAGGGGACACGGTCCACACGCTCCCATTTATGAGGAGAGGGGCGTGTGTGTGACGGGGTCTCCTGAAATCCAGAATGAGCTCTTTTGTTTGTTGTATATTCAGAGTGAGGTTGTTATCTGAGCATCACTTTGACAGATTACTGACCTCTGCCCGGTATGCTGCCTCATCTCCGTCTGTGATGAGGCCGGCCACAGTGGTGTCATCAGCATACTTAAAGATGGCAGTGGATGGGTGGGATGCGGTACAGTCTGATGTGTACAGCAGGGGGCTCAGCACACAGCCCTGAGGAGAGCCAGTACTGAGCAGGATGGAGGAGGAGAGATGGGAGCCATGTTTGACATGCTCTGGTCGACTTGTGAGAAAGTCTTTTATCCAGTGGCAGGTGGAGGGAGGGATCTGAAGGCTCAGCAGTTCTGAGATAAGAATGTCTGCGATGATGGTGTTGAACGCTGAGCTGAAGTCAACAAAGAGCATCCTGACGTAGCTTCCTCTGGTCTCTAGGTGGCTCAGTGTTGCGTGCAGCGACAGGGCGATGGCATCCTCTGTTGTTGTTTCCCCGGTAGGCAAACTGAAGGGGGTCGAAGGAGGTGGGGAGACAGGCTTGGACGTGGTTGGAGATAAGTCGCTCCAGACACTGATTACAGGTGTGAGGGCAACCGGTCGATAGTCATTTAAGCTGTCTATGGAAGATTTTTTGGGGATGGGAATACTCACTGGCACACTCCCTAACCACGATCCCCGGAATGCCGTCTGGTCCGGCAGCTTTCCTGGGGTTTACTGCTCTCAAGGTTCTTCTCACCTCATGTTCCTGGAGGATGAGAGAGGGAGGAGTGGGGTTTCTCGTGTTGTGGGGGGGGGTTGCAAAAGTGGGTGGGCGGTGGTTTCAAAACGAGCAAAGAAGTTGTTTAGCTCCTCTGCCTGTGTCCTGCTGCTGCCAGTGTTGGACAGAGTGTGGCCTCTGTGGTTGGTCAGAGTCTGGATCCCCTTCCACATCTTCCGGGGATTGTTGTTGTGAAAGAGGTCTTCTACTTTCCTCCTGTAGACTCTCGTTGCCTGGCGAATGCCCTTCCTCAGACTAGTTCTGGCTGTGCGGTACAAGTTGCTGTTACCTGACTTGAAGGCCACATTGCGGGCTCGGATTAGAGCCTGGACCTCTGATGTCATCCAGGACTTCCTATTTGGGAAGATCCGAATCGGTTTGGTCACTGTCACATTTTCTACACAGGTTCTGATGCAGGATAGCACCGTCTCTGTGTGCCTCCAGGTCCTGTTGTTCAAACACTCTCCAGTCTGTGCAGTCAAAGCATAGTGATTCAGTCTCTGAGTGAAAAAAGGCTCTCGCGCTCCTGTTTCCAGAAGTTAGCCAGAGCAGTTGGATATGGAGTCTTGTTTCCTGATAATCTTACCTCTGATTGGCTAACAGCAGTGCAGCTCTACCACTGACTCCTTTCTTTGCAGCGTTGATGTTTAATCTCCAAATAACACAAGCCTGAAGGAGTTTTGCCGTTTGGCAGAGTTGCTATTGCTAACGGTTAACTTCTACTTGCCAAGATTGGCAAGTCCATGAATGCTACCTCAGTGACGTAGATCTGAGCGACTTCTCTCATCTGAGTATTCCATTTTCTAACAGCCATTAATGTCAAAAATAAGAGTAGAACACTTATCACATTTAGCCTGCATGTTAGTGCTTGATCTTTAAAAATAATAAGAAACTAGATTCTGGCACATCTCATCTGTGTGAGTGGAGGTCCATTTATTAAAAGTACGTTTCCCCGAACCATCAAGGATGCAGTGTGAGGTGAGCATCAGCCCCAGCTGATGTGTGCATGTAGAAGATGACAGCCACCTTCTTCAAAGGCGTGTGATGTTCTGGTGATGGTGTGAATCTGTCAAAGCCGGAGGACGCGGTCCAGCTGTCCACCTCCTCCATAAAGCAGGCAGCCGGGCTTCCTGTCTCTCGCCTCATTTCCTACAGCATTACGAGAACGCCGGTCGTCTGCGGCGTCAGGCAAGAACAGCACCGCGCTGATGGCTACTGCTGAGCGGAGGCATCAAAGATGACGGATTCAAAGCTCGCTTGATTCAAGTCTACCTTTATTGATCACTCTACAGTGACGGTTACTTTACTCTCCTCTCGCATGCTTTCTGACAGATAATCGATTTGAAACGAGACGGCTTCCACACCATCACTTATCTACTATTAGATTATAGGACACATAGAAATCATTACTTCAGACATAATAGCACATACAGGCTGAAAAATGGTCTGTTTTGGATATGGTCTGTTGACATTTCATCTCAAAGGATGGTTTCATTCCTGAGATCTAATGTTCAATCCAATAAGCAGCAGGCTTTCTCAATAAACCAAATAGAGCCTCTGACTTGGTTAATGGCGCGCCTGACCAGTGGATCGAGACGGAGAAATTTGTTTTTAATACAGGAAAGTACAGTTTTGACCTCTAAATGTAACTCAGCAGCACAGCTGCGGTAATACCATCAGTGATAATGGCTGAAAACGGCACGGAGTGGAATCAAATCAACAGAAGCATGATGGATAGATGAACGGATGTTGGTAATGCTTCTCTTCACCCTCTGTCCTCTCCTCCTGCGCAGATCCCCACGGCTCCGTCTCGCTGAATTATAATACTTGGATGTTAGACTGCTGAGAGCGGGCCAGCGTTGGTTATGGAAGTGTTTTATATTCTCAGAGAGGGCACATGCAAATAAGCTTCTGCTCTAGCATCCTCGAGGCAATCCAGAACGTGCTTTTCTGCAACGTGAAGGAGCGCGCACCAGTCCTGGACACTGATCCGCGCTCTCCGGGTATTCCCAACCCTCCCGCCCCAAGTATCCTCTCTTATGATGCTCAATCAATTTCCCTCTGGGACTAATACAGTATTTTTGAATTTGAATTCAATTGAAGGAGTTATGAACCACATGCTGTAAAAAGGAAGCATCTATTTCATTTGGGTCGGCTGCATTTCCGAGTGAGAGGCGCTTCTCAGTCAGCTAAGAGGGTTTGTTTTAGGTCTTTTCGGGGGTTAATTGAAATGAAAAACGATCCGGGTGCTTGCTATAACGGGACTGCTTATTTATTGGTGAATTAGACTGGAACAATTACATTTGTTGGAAGAGGGCGTGGTCCTCAGGGGCTGTGCAAAGAGACAGTCAGCAGAATTACAGACAATTCCTGGTTATTCAACACGGACCGGAATAATCAGTAGGAAATAGTCCATGTGAGGCGAGAGTCCATTTCTGTTCAGAAGTCCCAGTCAGCTGCATGTCTCTGAGGAGGTCAAGTCCTTGGTGTGGCAGCCATGTCCCCCTCACCATCTCTAGACAACAGAAATGACTCGTTTGTTTTTTTTATTTCCCCCACCAGGGCGCCCCTAAGAGCTTCGTCTGGCCACCTTCTTTGTGCCGAGCTGCTCCCACTTCACTGCAGAGGAGACAAAACCACAGGAGGGTTAGAGATAAAAGCTGCAGTCTGACTAAAAAAAGGCACTTTTCTTCTTGGAGCCAGTTGCATTAATTAAAGGTCGGATCCTGCCAAGCAGCTCGGCGCTTCGACTGCAGCTAAGCAACATTTTCCATAAGGAAGGCGCGATCGCTGGCAGCTTTGGGCGTTGTGAATAACTGCACAACAGTTTCAATCACCGGAGATTCAGAGTGGAGTAGAAGGTAAAAACAGTCTGGAAATAAGTAAGATTTCTAAACCACATAGGTTTCTGTGTCAACGACAAAAATGCAGAAAATTCTATTCTGACCATCAAGATCAAACAAGGTTGAACTTTCCAAATGCTTTAGGTTAACATTTGATCATTTTCTGGTCTTCCAGGCGTTGGACTTTAGGACTTCATAAAACGTTTTTGCTAGTTCCATTTCTGGAAAGGCCACCATCTAGTTACCAACATCTAACTACCTCCCAGACTCACCAAGGGTGCTGCAGTCTCACACATACCGGTCCTTCTAAAAAATTAGCATATTGTGATAAAGTTCATTATTGTCTGTAATGTACAGATAAACATTAGACTTTCATATATATTAGATTCATTACACACAACTGAAGTAGTTCAAACCTTTTATTGTTTCTAATATTGATGATTCTGGCATACAGCTCATGAAAACCCAACATTCCTATCTCAAAAAATGTGCATATGATGAAAAGGTTCTCTAAACGAGCTATTAACCTAATCATCTGAATCAACTAATTAACTCTAAACACCTGCAAAAGATTCCTGAGACTTTTAAAAACTCCCAGCCTGGTTCATTACTCAAAACCGCAATCATGGGTAAGACTGCCGACCGGACTGCTGTCCAGAAGGCCATCATTGACACCCTCAAGCAAGAGGGTAAGACACAGAAAGACATTTCTGAACGAATAGGCTGTTCCCAGAGTGCTGTATCAAGGCACCTCAGTGGGAAGTCTGTGGGAAGGAAAAAGTGTGGCAGAAAACGCTGCACAACCAGAAGAGGTGACCGGACCCTGAGGAAGATTGTGGAGAAGGACCGATTCCAGACCTTGGGGGACCTGCGGAAGCAGTGGACTGAGTCTGGAGTAGACACATCCAGAGCCACCGTGTACAGGCGTGTGCAGGAAATGGGCTACAGGTGCCGCATTCCCCAGGTCTAGCCACTTTTGAACCAGAAACAGCGGCAGAAGCGCCTGACCTGGGCTACAGAGAAGCAGCACTGGACTGTTGCTCAGTGGTCCAAAGTACTTTTTTAAGATGAAAGCAAATTTTGCACGTCATTCAGAAATCAAGGTGCCAGAGTCTGGAGGAAGGCTGGGCAGAGGGAAATGACAACATGCCTGAAGTCCAGTGTCAAGTACATACAGTCAGTGATGGTCCGGGGCGCCATGTCAGCTGCTGGTGTTGGTCCACTGTGTTTTATCAAGGGCAGGGTCACTGCAGCTAGCTATCAGGAGATTCTGGAGCACTTCATGCTTCCATCTGCTGAAAAGCTTTATGGAGATGAAGATTTCATTTTTCAGCACAACCTGGCACCTGCTCACAGTGCCAACACCACTGGTAAATGGTTTACTGACCATGGTATTACTGTGCTCAACTGGCCTGCCAACTCTCCTGACCTGAACCCCGTAGAGAACCTGTGGGATATTGTGAAGAGAAAGTTGAGAGACGCCAGACCCAACACTCTGGATGAGCTTAAGGCCGCTATCGAAGCATCCTGGGCCTCCATAACACCTCAGCAGTGCCACAGGCTGATTGCCTCCATGCCACGCCGCATTGAAGCAGTCATTTCTGCAAAAGGATTCCCGACCAAGTATTGAGTGCATAACTGAACAGAATTATTTGAAGGTTGACTTTTTTTGTATTAAAAACACTTTTCTTTTATTGGTCGGATGAAATATGCTAATTTTTTGAGATAGGAATTTTGGGTTTTCATGAGCTGTACGCCACAATCATCAATATTAGAAACAATAAAAGGCTTGAACTACTTCAGTTGTGTGCAGGGTCCAAAATTAACACTCGCCAAATGTGAGCAAATTGCTCCATTTGGCGAGTAAATGTTTGCACCAAGTTAGTTATGTTTATCAGTCATCTTCCATGGATTTCTGATACTCCGCCCGCCTGCATGCAGCGTACACAAACGTACGCGAAACGTGAACGCCGCATCCAACGTCATTTCCGCCTATCCCATTCAATCAGTTTATCAAGTTAGCGGTTAGCTTCGTGTTAAAACTAGCGGTGAAATGTGGCGGTTTTTAACTGGAGTCAGCCAGCCTTCCAAAAGAAAACTCGTCGAACTGGAAGAAAAACCACCAGGACCAGTGGTAACCAGAAGATTTTGTGAAAAGTGGCGAACCGGAGACGGCGGAGTCGTGAGACAATGGCTACATTATGATGGCCACGTAGCGTTGCTGCCTTTCACAGACACTTTTTCTGCTCGTGCTGCAAACAGGATAGCCGTCTTCTATCAACTGTCCCTCTGCATTCTTCAGATATCCATAAAATGCCCATAAGGGATAATAAATGTCCCGAGCGCTGCCGTCTCCTCCTGCCATTATTTCAGCTTTAGCTTAAAGAAAGTTTTGGTCGTAAACAACAAAGTGCGCATGTGCCACCGGCAACTTCAGATGATACGGTGGCTGGTAAGGGTCACCGCACCTACACCGCAGCCACGGTAATCCACCGAGATAATATATATATATATATATTTTTTTTTAAACAAGACGGTTATTATTATTGTCAACTTTTTTACCGGGGTTTACCGCTACACCGGTTACCGTGACAACCCTAGCCCTAACATACTTTCAGATATTCTCATGGTGCAGCTGTGTTCTCCAGAGATCAGGACTAGGACCCAAATGAGGCGTTGGCACAAAGACGGTGTCAGAAGCAGGAGGCCAGATTCATGGACAGAGAAAACAAGGAGTCTGACTAGATTTCAATGAAAGAGTTCATAAAAACATCTCTAAAAATAAATAAATAAATGGTAAAAATGACAAAAGAGTTGTTTTTTTTTTATTAATTGATGTTTTAATTATTTTGTCACTCTGTTTGGAATCAACATAATATAGAATAACATGCTTTAGGTAGATCTAAATCATTTAGAGTTTTGGCCGGTAGATTTTCATCATCTACCAGCCAACTTGGCCGGTGAGTAAAACATTTTATTTCGGACCCTGGTACAGGGTAATGAATCTAATATATATAAAAGTAAAATGTTTATCAGTACACTACAGAAAATAATGAACTTTATCACAATATGCAAATTTTTTGAGAAGGACCTGTATACACACACACACACACACACACACACACACACACTGATGGCTACATCCAGGCAGTGGCCATTCATCAGAATCAACCACCCTTTGAGAAGCTGTAAAGTCACCAACACGCCGCTGAAAGGCTCCGGCACCCTCAGCACTTTCTTACGCAACAATCTTTAGGGAAAAGGGAAAAATTAAAGAAGAGTACCAGTGGTTCTGAATAATTCAGGACTACAAATTGGGTATAATTTACATTACAGCTACAATATATAGCAGGCTATCACTTTGTACCCCAAAGCTAATGTATGAGATGGTGAATGACCTAACACAGTTGGTGTGTTTACAGCGCGTCTAAGTTGGTGTCAAGTGGTGGTCCTCAATTAGTGGGGTGTGCTCCGGCAGAGGGGGGTGGCGCAAGAGACCCGAACCCCCCCAGCTCAGAGATTACCTGACTGAGAATAAAAAACACACGCCACACTTAAAACACCCACTAGGCTACGCAATTCATCATAAATGTATCACCATCGCAATATCAGCATGTGCCCTACGAATATCGCAAAGAACAGAACAAACTGAATGGTCAGCTCAAATGTTTGCTACGCAAAGTTCATTTTGTCAATCAAATGAAAGCATCTAATAGAGCCCTGCACCCATTTAGCCAATCGGGTGGGTTCTTATAGGTTAGATGCCCGCCCCCTAGGAGGACAGCACTTAGTTTGGATGGCTAGCAAACGCCTGTTAGCTTTGCTCTGCTCTCTCTGCTTTTCCCAGGATCCACAGATTCCCTTTTCCCTTTCTTCACCAATGTTGCTTTTCCCATTTTATTATTTGTAGTCATTTAATTTTTTTTATTAATTTCTTTGTTTTTGATGTTTTGTTCTTGAATATATATTTATTGCAAGTCATATCATTATTGCAATATTAATCCCCGTTGTTGTGCCTCCCCCTCCCCCCCCCCCCCCCCCCCCCACACACACACACACACACTTTGCAAAAACAGGTTGTGTATCCTGTATTCTGGCGTTGCAGACTGGGGGGGTTGGCCCTTTGGATTGTGTGACCAGCATGTAAACACATCTCAGTGTGACCCCTCAAAAAGGAACAAGATGCAGCCGTGAACCGACCTGGGGGCTGAAGCGTCTCCAGTAGACCGCCAGTCTCCGGGTCCTTCCGTGACCGATGGCTGTGCCTGAAGGAAGGGCAAACCACAAATCAATACCCCGTCTACAAAGGGCTGAGAGCAACTTGAAACAGACCATGCAACGTCTACAGGAGAAGATGTGCCCATGCAACTCATACTTGTTTGGATAACTCTACAGGCTGAGCAGTAAGCAACCCTTACACAGCAAATAAAAGGCAACAGCAGCTCAACTGGACAGAAGATGTTTGGCTCTGTTCATTTCAGCAAGAGTTGCATTTACACTAGATTTAGTTAGAACACAAAACAGTTATTTGTGCACATGGTATCTACTGCTGCATGAGGCTGGAAGTGACTTTTTTCTCTTCTTACTTTTGAAGCGACTCTTTTTGTTGCCATGACCGCAGTAAGGTTTTAAGACATGGTTGGGATTTACCAGCAGGTTTAGGTCAATACGATGGAACACACTAGAAAACTGAACATTTAGGGTTAGGGTGAGCTTTACGGCGGACTTCTCTAGATTATAGCCGTTACTCTGGACTAAAGCACCAATCATGACAACGAGTTTGAATTCAGTTAATTCTCATCGACGATTACGACCACAGGTAGGATTGAAAAAGTCTTATACATACCCAGGCATTCAATGCTTTACAACTCTATACACATTAGGGAGCTATCCAGGTTATTTTAGAGGTCTTACCTCTGGGTCCTTTTTAAAAAGTATAGAGAGAGAGAGAAAGAATAAGTTGTGCTCTTTTATAATCAAATCAAGACATCATTTAGTATGGTTAAAGTCTTCAGACGGCAATACATTCATTTAGATTTAAAAAGCGCTTTTGAAGGAGAAACCAAACCAAACCCCTACATCTGACTGCTGGAGGTGGTTTAAAAAAGGCCATTTCAGAATTTAACTAGAACAGGAAACAAATAAAGCAAGTTACGTTTCATAAAAAACAAACTAGGCTTTATTGACAAACTGCTGCAAAACATTTTTTGACAGATTTAGTAACCTATTTAGGCAAGCTTACACATGGAGCATAATGCATTTTATGGAGAGGATACAGATGCTAGTGGCAGAATAAGAAGTACAGTTAGGATGTTTTAAAATATGTACAAGAGTTTGGATTGAGCTGCAGGATCCCTTCTCTGTGGTAAGAGAAGACCCATGTGGAGATTTTTGTCCCAATCCTTCTTTGTGTACTTTGTGCATGCAGTTTGTGTCGAATCAGATCAGAACATGAAGACCTGAGCCGTTTCTAAATGAACAAGAGGCCAAGCACTGGCCAGATTTAGCCATTATTTTGTCTTCAGTCGTAATTATTCTTTTAACAAGTAAAACAAATTAAGGATATGAGGACAGTCCATCTCGACAGTGTCTATTAGGGCTATATTTCAAAACTCTAAGTACAGTGACAGATATTGCTGCCTAAAGCTGACAGATTATGTTTTAGAACTATTTAGGAACAAGCCATCACCAGCGATGGATTTCACTGATCCCATTAAAATTGCTTTAGTCTTATTGTAATTTAAGATGTTTTGTTTTTTGTTTTATAGATGGATATATTACATGAAATAAAAGTTTAATAAGGTCTTTTATTAGACTATATTAACAGAATTTTGAAATGTAGCCTAAGTGGGAATCTGCAACTGACCCTCAACAGGTTCTTTGTATTTAAAAACAATTAAAAAGGACAAGTAGGTGTTGAGCCACTAATTACACTCGAAACGACAACTCCTAAACAGTCAAAGAACAATAAACAATGTCAAAAAAGCCAGAGGGGGTAAAAACGGTCGGAGAAAAAACATTCAGCAAAAAGAAATGAAGAAAAGTCGAGAGAAAGGAAACAGAAAACACCAGCGTCTCCTCTCTGACCCTTTTAAAAGCCACTTTGGTTGCTTGGACAGGAGATGTGACAAAGTGGGAGTACAGGAAGGTGCCTGTGGTCAAATCTCAAAATCCAGTTCCAATTTTCAGTTCCCAATTTGTTCTTGTGAGTCAAGTCCAGTGTAGGAAAAGCCCAAACAGAAAAACCAAACGGACATTTACTTTTGTCAGGCTTCTTAAAGCGAGAGCTGCCGGGTCGACACACGACTACCGGGGCAACTAGTCCGCTTCAGTACTGTCTGTACGGGTGCTCCCGGTAGGCTGTCTTTCCACCTCTGGATGGGGGCGGGGCTTTCCCCGGAGTCGTCCGCTGGGTGCCGTTCCAGTCGTCCTGGCCTGGAAGAGACACAAAAGGAGGAAAAACAGAGCTTGAACATGGATTTAAGGATTCATCGCATTACAATGGCAGGGTGCGTCCACATGCATCAACCAGCAACTCAACACGATTCTGATTTACTGCGTTCCCATTAAAACAGCCTGGTGGAGGAAAGCGGTTCTCACCATACGACTCGTACGACTCTGTGGTCTCTCCGTGTCCATAATCATAATATTCTGGTTCTCTGGTTGTCAGAAACACAAAAGACATTAAAGAAGATTAAAAAAGGTCATTTATGATAAACTATGTTCAGGCAGACGCACACAAGCCAACAATCACCCTCGCCATCAGGGAGACAGGCCAGTGCAACCAAATCCTCTAAAGTCCTAATAAACTAGCTGGTGTGGGTGGGTGTGTGCGCGCGCGTGTGTGTGTGTGTGTGTGTGTGTGTGTGTGTGTGTGCTTGTTTTCTGAGACGCAGGTGAAAAACAAAGGGGTCTGATTCACTCACGCCTGCGGCTGGCTGTAATAGCTGTCGTACGACTCGTAGGCCGTGTCGGTGTAGCTCTCGTCGTAGCCCTGAAGGGGAAAGGAAACAGGAACACGACAAGATTTAAGGGGAGGCTTGTTCATGAATCAGGAATGTCAGGATGTCCCTGAAGTACTCCACCGGTACAAACATAAACACGCTCTCCCTTTTGTCTCGGCCATCTGAAACCCCTTGTGCCCTCGCTGGAAACGGAGCGTTAACGGTGTAGAACACCAGCCACGTTCATACAGTGGGGCTAGAAAGTATTTAGTCAGCCACCGATTGTGCAAGTTCTCCCACTTAAAATGATGACAGAGGTCAGTAATTTACATCATAGCTACACTTCAACTGTGAGAGACAGAATGTGAAAAAAATCCATGAATTCACATGGCAGGATTTTTAAAGAATTTATTTGTATATCAGGGCGGAAAATAAGTATTTGGTCAATAACAAAAAATCAACTCAATACTTTGTAACATAACCTTTGTTGGCAATAACAGAGGTCAAACGATTGCTATAGGTCTTTACCAGGTTTGCACACACAGTAGCTGGTATTTTGACCCATTCCTCCATGCAGATCTTCTCGAGAGCAGTGATGTTTTGGGGCTGTCGCCGAGCAACACGGACTTTCAACTCCCTCCACAGATTTTCTATGGGGTTGAGGTCTGGAGACCGGCTAGGCCACTCCAGGACTTTCAAATGCTTCTTACGGAGCCACTCCTTTGTTGCCCGGGCGGTGTGTTTGGGATCATTGTCGTGTTGGAAGACCCAGCCACGTTTCATCTTCAAAGCTCTCACTGATGGAAGGAGGTTTTGGCTCAGAATCTCACGATACATGGCCCCATTCATTCTGTCCTTAACACGGATCAGTCGTCCTGTCCCCTTAGCAGAAAAACAGCCCCAAAGCATGATGTTCCCACCCCCATGCTTCACAGTAGGTATGGTGTTCTTGGGATGCAACTCAGTATTCTTCTTCCTCCAAACACGACGTGTTGAGGTTATACCAAAAAGTTCTACTTTGGTTTCATCTGACCACATGACATTCTCCCAATCCTCTGCTGTATCATCCATGTGCTCTCTGGCAAACTTCAGACGGGCCTGGACATGCACTGGCTTCAGCAGCGGAACACGTCTGGCACTGCAGGATTTGATTCCCTGCCGTTGTAGTGTGTTACTGATGGTGACCTTTGTTACTGTGGTCCCAGCTCTCTGCAGGTCATTCACCAGGTCCCCCCGTGTGGTTCTGGGATTCTTCCTCACCGTTCTCATGATCATTTTGACCCCACGGGATGAGATCTTGCGTGGAGCCCCAGATGGAGGGAGATTGTCAGTGGTCTTGTACGTCTTCCATGTTCTGATAATTGCTCCCACAGTTGATTTTTTCACACCAAGCTGCTTGCCTATTGTAGATTCACTCTTCCCAGTCTGGTGCAGGTCTACAATTATTTTCCTGGTGTCCTTCGAAAGCTCTTTGGTCTTGGCCATAGTGGAGTTTGGAGTCTGACTGTTTGAGGCTGTGGACAGGTGTCTTTTATACAGATAATGAGTTCAAACAGGTGCCATTAATACAGGTAACGAGTGGAGGACAGAAAAGCTTCTTAAAGAAGACGTTACAGGTCTGTGAGAGCCAGAGATTTTCCTTGTTTGAAGTGACCAAATACTTATTTTCCACCCTGATTTACAAATAAATTCTTTAAAAATCCTACCATGTGAATTCATGCATTTTTTTCACATTCTGTCTCTCACAGTTGAAGTGTACCTATGATGTAAATTACTGACCTCTGTCATCATTTTAAGTGGGAGAACTTGCACAATCGGTGGCTGACTAAATACTTTTTTGCCCCACTGTATACTTGTGCTCTTAACGCTGAGATCATCACAAATATCCTACAGACGGATGTGTGTGAGTACCTTGTACTTACATATTCATCATAACCCTCTGCAGCTGCAGCAGGGGTGTGCTGGTGTGCGGGGGGCGGTGCCATCCTCTGAGGTGGTCCTCCAGCTGGGGGTCTGGCGCGTGGTGCTGCGGTTCCCCGGGTGGGTGCTGCAGGAGGCCCTCCTCTTCCTGCTGGGCCCCCCCCTCTCACGGCTCCACCTCTGGCGGGACCACCCCGAGTCACTCCACCTCTGGCTGCAGAGCCGTGAGGAGGCATTCCTCGTCCCCTGAGAGAAGAAACCCAGCGTTAATGTCATGAGTGGCGTGGGCTACTGACACTTCTATGGTGCTGTTCTCCAGCAGCCGGGCGTAACGGAGACACGGGCGTCATCTTCACACGGTTGTTGTTAAGAGGTCACTACAAATGAGTCTCTATAACCTAAAAGGCATCTTTCTCTTGCTTTGGTCTTTTGTTCGAGTCAAAACTAACGACTCGTACTCTGATGTGACTAGGTAAACGGCACCGTGTCATACGAGTCCTTCCTGTCCGTGGAACTTTGACGTCTAATGGGCCATTCCCATCGGTACCGGGCCGACCCGGTACCGATGGGAATGGCCCATTAGACTGCTGGTCATGAGTCCTGATGTGTATCACATCAGCTGCACAAGAAGAGTTTAGTCTAGAAGAATAAATGTGTCTGTTGGTAAGTGTGTGTGTGTGTGTGTGTGTGTGTGTGTGTGTCCATCTCCAAACCTGTGTGCTCCAGCAGGGGGGACCCCACGGCCCCTAACGGGCATGCCCCCTCGCCCTCTGCCCCCGTGCTCCTGGCCTCCGTTCAGGTAGCTCATCTCCATGAACTGTTCTTGGCAGATATCATCCATCATGTCCTACACAAGCGGACAGAGAAGACGTTAGAAGGGTTACAGAAGGAGGCAAAAAATAAAATAAAACCAAGCTACTGAAGAACACTCCCCTCCCCCCCTCAGCCCACCCCGGTGGGAGAAAACGTCTCAGTGACTCACGGTGTGTGAGAGAGAGACGGGGGGGAGAGGGTTGTTGGTGTGCTGGAGAGCATCCACCCACACTCCCAGTCCTCTTTCCATCAAGCCCAGAATGTAAACCACATCTCCCTCTCTGTCCTCAGTGAGTCTGGGATGAATCAAGCGTTTCCACGTTTATCTGCACGAGCAGCAAGTTGGCTCAAAGCTCCTTCTGCTGCAACCTAATCGGCCCTTTTCCTTCTGGGAGCAATCACAAGAGCTGCACTGTGACCCAATCAATGCCTGTTCATTCAACAGTCCAGTGTAGTGACGGGCTCTGATGATGGGGGAGGACGAAGAGCGTTCACCGAGGATCGGCGGCATGGAGGACGGTTTTGGATTGGTCCACAGCAAAAAGCCGGCAAACACAGTTTATTTCATCGATTTCAAATAGAGTGACTGCAGCTTAGGGTTGGACGATGGGTGATGTAACAGGAAGACGTTTAGATGTTCGTGTGGGCCTGACACACTGCATGGAGTGCTCCACCAATCACAATCATTCTTATTTGGTTTGCAGAAGCAGGCCACACGGATTCCAATGAGACGTTGTCGGTTACCGAATTTCATCAGCTTTTTGATGCATCAATCAACGACTGCCCAGTACGTCAAGTTAAGAGTCCCACTAGCCACCACACACCGGTGACATCCATCTCTGCATCTGACCCATCCTCGTGGGGAGCGGTGAGCTGCAGCGGCGGTGGCTGCTTTAACCCCCCAAACCAACCCCTTAGAGTGGCGTGTCAAGCAGGGAGGCATTGGGTCCCATTTTTAAGTCTTTGGTTTGACCCGACCAGGATTTGAACCCCCATCTCCCAGTCCCAGGGCGGGTACATCCATAGGCATAAAACATCTCACTAATAAAGAGATCAGCGGAAGGCTGGGCCAATCGCCACGGTCGAATCATTTGTCCGATCTCCCAACCTTGGTGCAGACGCACAAACAAACCCGAACACGCCGCTCTCACAGGGGACCAGGGACCTGCTAACGTGTCAAACGGCAGCAGTGAAGTCAGACGTCTGGCTTTGCTCTGGTACAGAAATTACTTACAGCTAGATCTTTTAGCCCGTTTTATTTCTGCTCCAGCAGACGTCTCTTCACAAGTGAGATGTTTCTGACTCGTGTGTTCATAAAGAAAACGTTATTGAAGTAAATTAATTTGGGGTCAATCAAACCTTGTTTTAGAAGTAAAACGTGGTCACACCGCAGTGGGGGTAGAAGAAAGCCTCGTTCCTAACCACAGCCACCCCTCTGAATCAAACGGAGTCGTGAGGCGCCCAAAGACACACCACGCTTGTGCGGTATTACAGTACGACCGTATACAAGCGCTGTTAAAACAGCAACGGTGTCCGTGCCAACACCGTCGTGAAGTAAACCGTTCACGTAAGAGACGAGGATTAAAAGAAATATATAAAGATAAATAAAGGTATAAAACAGAAGCGTGGTAGAGGTTTACCTACAGAGTTTAAAATGTTTTGTCCAACATTTAGAGACGTTCCATAAAGTTTATGAACGTGATGTCGTCACATGACTGCGTGGAGAGCCAGCAGCTGACTCGGTGTCTAAAAACAACACAACTTCTGCAGTTTGGGAAGCAAAAGATGACAGAAAGACGCACGCCTCGTCGGTACCGCAGACGAGCGAGCTGTAGCTGAAATAGCCAACTTCTGTCTGGAGCCTTTCTGGCGGAGAAGAGCGGCCGGCGACCGGCGACCGGCCCCAAAGCAACCGCACGTCTGCCACGGGCTCAGGTCCAAGCCAACAGCTTGGTAATTCCACTCGAGGCTTACGTCATCGTTTTTATCTCGGTCCCGGTAATACCGTGCACGGTGGAGGAAGCTAGGCGATGTTACAATTAGGATACCGCCCAAGCCTAAACCAGCCCGTTTCAGACGACGGCCTTCATGCCTGACAGATTATGACCTGTAATTGCAGAGACAGGTGTTGTAGCTTATTACACATCAGCACTGAAACGACTCCACTGGCCCGTTCGTCTCACGCCGGACCTGAGATGACGTTTAATTCTGAAACACAAAGATGTAATTGGGCCTGTAGCCCGATTCTGGCTCCTTAAACCCGTCATCTCTGGCTCGGCCATCTCAGCGCTAAAGCAACACCGTGGGACGGATGTGGACACGCGTCTGTATACGAGGTGAGACTCTGCTATGGATGCAGTGATGGACTCACATGTAGGCAAGACCCAGAAGGTCTGCTGACGCAGAGAAAGCGACTCCATTCCTTCTCTTAAGCGGATTGCTTTACGTGCTGGGACTACGGCATGGAGTGAGTTTGGTCCCGGTAAACACCCATCCACTCTCCGCTGTCTGACCTGCACACCTGGACTCTTTGTCTCACACAACACTGAGAATAAAGATTAGTCTCAGCCCACCAGCCAGTGGTATTGATGCTTTATAGCTCCTTATGCCTTCTTCTGTTAATTTACATGAACAAATCTGAAGAAGCAGCAGCAGCGACACGTTCACCCCCCCACCACGCCCGGCGTGTATCCCACTTCTACTTCTGAGCTCAGCGATTGTCTTTTCTTAGACTGGAAATTAATTAGCAACTATATAAACACACAGCTAGTCTCCAGTCTATTTTTAGTAGAACATCATCTTTTTCTATTTCCTGCCCAGCTGTGATGACGCCTCAACTGTGAGAAATCAACAGAATTCAGGATTTTATGTGTTCAGACGAAACAAGTGATGGTTTTTATAGATAACATGTCTGTTCGCCACGCCGTCGTCGGTCCTCTAACAGGTCCTCTCCAGACGTTCCTTGGAAGAACAGCAAACACACACTTACAGGAAACAGGAACTTTTTGACCTCCTCCATAGCGTGTGCCATGCGCAGGTAAGCGTCGGGCACTGGCGCGAACACCTCGATGAACACGTGCAGCTCCATAGACAGGTGGGCGTATTTTGGTTCACCACCTTTCCTGAGCTCCTCTTCCTGAGACAAGGACAACATCAAAAGGACCGTCAGCTGCTCCACTTGAATATTTAATGAATAATGGAAGACATAATCACATCTACTCCACCTCACTGGCATCGCTATCGCCGTAGTAACCATGCATGATGATTACGTCAGACTGCTAGGTAACGGGGTTACCCGGTTACTCTGGGACAGAGGTGCTAACCCTCCTCAGCAGACTTCTTACAGGAGGTACCGTACCTTGGCTTTGTCCCTCATGGATCCTTTGCCCAGCACAGAGATCTTGGCCCCGGTCTCCTCCTGCAGACGTTTGATCGTGTTGCCCTGAGGTCCCAAAATCTTCCCCACAAAATTAAACTAACAAAGCAACAAAAAGAAGAACCAAATTAGCCTGCCAGTCAGAGACGGGTCTAGTCAAACACCAGTAGACTGTCGGGGATCTGGCTGTACGTCCTGCAGGCCTTAAGGCGCAGATTTACCACATCAAGTCTGTACGAGCTCCTAAGGGATACCATATTATCTGCGGTTGTTTGCTAGCGCGGAGCCAGAACTCACCGCAACCTTCTGAATCTCTGACTAAAATAACTTCTACTAATGCTAATAATTGTATTAAAGTAGCTGCCATTTCCAAACACAAACAGAAAAAATGGCTGCCTGATTAGATCAGTCAATGGTGCCTTATGTGGCAACTAAAGTCCAAGTCCTGGAGACCGAACGGCGGACACACCCAAAGAAACACACTCCTGTATCGTACTGATCACCCTGTAAGTGAACAGACTCCTACAGACGGGCTTTTATCATTTAAAGGATCTAAATAACAGGTTTTACAACAGGACGGACTTAAAGGATGCAGCCCACAGCAGCTGATAGAGATTTTACTGACCAGTGATCATTGTCACTTTATCAGACTCACTAATTACACAAATATGAGCGTTTAAGATCAGAAATGATGTGAATGGGTGGTTTTTGGGTTAAATGATGAAAGTCAGCAAGCTTTTACCCTGAAAATATCGCCTAACGGACCCAAACGTCTGTGTTCAACGATTTTTTATTATTATATTCAAACATTATCGACGGTCATCATTGTCCAAAGCTTAAACACCAGAATTAAGGAGTAATTTAAGACAGCTCTTAGTTTGTGTAATTAGTGAGCGGCGGCTGGAAAGTACAAAGATTTTCAAACTAAAACAGCAAGACAACAAGCAGCTCACCTTGGGGTACTGTTTGACAGGTATGAGCACTCGCTCCTTGAGTTTGATGTTCTTTGTAGTGAAAAGGTCCAGGTAGGTCTGGGTCTCCTTTTTAGTCTCGCCTTTCTGGACTCTATCGATTTCTAAAGAACAGAGACAAAGTTGTGCGATCGTAAATGCTTAACAAAACCATTTAGATGCACTTGATTTAGTTCCTTTTTGTAATGGTGATGTGGTCAAATACATAAAAAAATCTATTTAGATCTGATATTTTCACTCAGTTTTCAAACCAAATCATTGAAATCTCTAGATTAGGTCTCATTTAGAGTAAAGAAATTATATTTCAACCACTGAGACTTGATTATTGGGCTTATGATTAAATGTTGGAAATAAAAATACATTGAAATCGTGGGGATCTCATTCAATATGAAGCATCGATGAAGATTTTCAGACAGCAGCGAACTAAACTTTTGTTGTTTTGTTCTCACACCTCTCCTGTGTGACACAGGAACCACAAGATTTCACCTGAAAGCACCACCTGACTCCTGGCTCTGACAACTCCTGAGCCTGCAATGTGCGAACCAGTCACCCACACCAGCCTGCCAGCTGCAGATCCTACAGGAGTGCCAGGTAGATGTTTGGGCTAGAGAAACCAACACACACACACACGCACACTTCACCTTAGTCAGACTTCCAACTCCTGGCCTGCAGGTTAAATTTAGCATATCCTAGACAGACGTGTCAGATGAATCATCAGCAGGGAAATCTGAGAGGTGGAACTAAGAAAATAAAGGATTACATCACAGGAAGTTAGTTTGTTTTCTAAACGGGATCTGATGTTCAGACCAGAGGAGCGGAATAAAAACGTCAGCTTTTGAGGAGTCGTTATAATTATGAGGCATGATTTAGCATCCAGAATAGAGTGAAAAAGAGATGGTAACTAAAAGACTACAGGGTGGAAACTACAGGGGAGGCAGCAGCGCCGTGCCCGCCATGGCGGCATCACTTCTGAGGAGCACCGGGAGACACCGGGACCTCAAGCTCTTCCACACCGCTGATGAGGCGCCGCCTCCCGGCTTCAAAGCGGTGTGTTGCTGCTCGGCTCCCGGACAGAAGAATCAAAAGGGACACGGTAACAAGAACGAGCGCGGTGGAGTTTGAGTCTAACCCCCATGTGTGTCTCTGTTGGTTCTGCTTTCACACACGATTCATCAACTAACACCAAACTAAACCACTCATCTAGACAAAAGCTACTTTGTGTGGTAGCGGGCACACACACACACACACACACACACACACACACACACACACACACACACACACACACACACACACACAATTAAATACACTCTTACCTGCGTTTAGAAGTTTCATCGCGTGAGTGAACGACGAGTCCAAACTGTCCTTCTCCGCCAGCAGCTCGGGAAGATATTTATCATCGTTCTCCATCTTGTTGAATGTTTTAAAAAAGGGAGTCAATTAAAACAATTAAAGCGATGAAAAACTCCAACAGCCCGCCTAAAAAAGTAGTCCGGTTATGTGAGTACGGAGAGCCGGGAGTCCCTGGCGTGGGCGGCGCTTCTCATGTGGCTACCGGGCGTTTTCTGCGTCGAGCGGGTCCGCCACTCTCCTCCGGACCGGATCCAGTACACCTGACGGCGGCGCTGGCTGATAGAAACTGGGAGAGAAAAGCTGCGCGAGAGAGTGGACGGCTCACTCCAACGGAAGTGAGCTCAGAGGTATGACTCCGCCCACCGCGCGTGCCGTTCGGGTGCGCTACAGATCAGATGTTGGGTCCCAGTCTGAACCATGTCTCCAGCAGGCTGTAACCATAAATAACTAACGTCTCTGTTATAAATAACCGAAATGAAACATCTCTAATTTAATATCCCTAATTTTAGATTCTTATTATGGCAAAAAAAAAACTTTTATACTCAAATCTCGGATTCATCAACACAATCGATATTTGAGTTAATCTATTTTTTTCCAGAAGAAATGATTAATATATCTAAATCAGCTTCTTATGTGTGGAGAATTGTGCTATTAAAATGTCTACAATTCTACTAAAATTTCTAGAATACCCACACCTTGTTAAAATGTTTATTTTGTCGATCCGAGAGAAACTAATTAAATCAGTTTGTCCACTGCCACTCAAAGACACACGTGTTTATAAATTAAAGTGAAGTAAAGCAAACATTTGAAGAAATACACGTAAGGGTACATCTACAACATGATGGTTCACACACAGTTCAATACAAATTTATTCTAATTTTCAATCAATTAATTAAATACTGCTGAATCATTTTTCTAAACTTATTTTGCATATGAAGTGTGACCTGGATGAGACGTCTGGTGATTAGAGTTTGCCTCACACGAGTTGCTTGGAACAAGTTACCTTCTTTAGAGGCTCTCTACTGCCCCCTAGTGGAAGCTTTAACTGTGAAAAGAGCAGGTTGCAAAATAATGCAGCTCTGCGACCAAAGCATACCCCTTCCTGTATCGACTCAAAATGCTTCTGTGTGAGTGAAAAGCTCAGAGAGAAGAATAACTAGAAGAAACAATCCAATGATTGATTCCTCCCTCTTATGCTGTGGTAATGAACCCGCCATGCTGTTTGGTGGAGCACTCAGGGTCAGAGGTTAGAGATGGCTTATGCATACCAAAAGAGAGTCGACCGTTTCCGGGGCCTTTTGCATCCACAGCGGCATGTGTGCGTGGGTGCTCCTTGAGCAAACAGCAAGAAACTGCAGGTCATTTATCAGTCCGCCGCTGGAGTGAAAACTATTACAATCGACCGCAGGTGTACCCGGGCATGCATCTGCTGAAAACAAATGAAGGCAAAAATTGTCTGCAGTAAACACTTATGGGAGACCTACTCTAACTATCAGCATTCAGCTTGATCTATCTCTGACCATTACTGCGTTATTAGTGCTGGGGGGTTGCAAGGTTGCTCCGACTCCTCTTGTCATTGACAGAATGAATTGCCTGTGAGCTGAATTTCAATCGGCTCATAAAAGGAAGACTTACTTCACTTGGCAGGTGGAGGAGTTCCAATCCAATAGCTTGTGCGCTTGCCTTCTGCTTGTGTGGATCTTCAGCGTCCCTTAACATACAAGTCCACAATCTGGGGTAAATAGGGGCAGATGGGGGAGGTAAACACCGGGGCTAGATTTATGTAAACTGCCTCTATTTCAGCTCTTTACATATGACCCGTTTTCATGCCCCACAAATTTCAAAACAAAAAGAAATGGCTGGGATTCATTGTTCCCCTGGAGTTTTATCCGTGTTAGAGCAGAGGAGCCCGTAAAGCAGCACACACAGCGCTGTGAGGGTTGAAATCCCACTAAATATCCAACTCGTGGAATTTTTGTAGCTCTAAATTACAGGTGTTTCATTCATTTTCACAAAACGCCATAAAATGTTTGTGAAACTATGCTTGGGTCTGACGCGTTAGAAGATCTGCAACAGCCACCCCAAATAACACACAGGAACAGATCAGCAAGGACGAGCGGTACATTAAAATTACAATCACAGACTCGGAGGTCAAAAGCTAAGGTCCGGAACATAACAGCACAAAACATCTGGTAAATCAACAGAGCAAGACAACGGAGAAAGCTGAAAAAAGGGGAAATTTTGATTAGTAAGAGAATAAAATGGGTAAATTTAAAATCCTACATTATAACAAATGTAAAAAGTTAGGGATGTGTATTGGTGAAATTCAGGCGATACAATACGTATCACGATACAATATCTCATGATATATTGCGATAAATTCAGTCAGATGGTATTGGTGATTTTTTTAGACTGAAATTGGAAAATTCAAGAAACTCTCCAAACTGCTGCGTTACATGTTGTTTAACATGAGGTATCTGCACCATAATAGAGGGATTTACATTTCAGAGGTGGAAACAAAACCCATTGCACACTGCTGCTAACTCACGGTTGCACATACACAAATGTTTGCATGTAAATTCCTCCTATAATCCGATACACAGCTTTTGAATATCGATATAATATTGCAGGAAAAAAATATTGCGATATATTGCCATTTCAATATTTTCTTAAAAATACTGTTTTCCAAGGTTGGTTGGCGGTTGTGGCAATAAGGATGCTCGCTGATTAGTGGTAACCAAGATGCGAGCCAGCAGTGACTTACAGATGTGGACACGTGCTTCAATAGATGACCAGAAGACAAAAAAAAAAAAAAAAACTAGCATAAATGTGCTTGAAAATTTGCTTTTCTGACTCAAAATCAAATGTCCAGTTATGTAAACTTTAAAGGTTAACTTCACAGAATTTTTTTTGATTATAATCAGTCACTGTGAGTTTTCCTTGCAGGCTGAACCTACGACAATCTCCTGCATTGGTGTCTGATAGAAAATAGACGGTGAAACTCTAGGATTCGAAAAGCCTGACAGATCTACGTCACACTGTCGCTTCACATTCATGGACTCACCCATCTGGACTCGCAACAGGGAAGTCTGTTGTTGTTTTAATGTGGAGGAGAGGGCAGATCATGCCTCGACTGCTAGAAGCTAACCATTAGCATTAGCAACTCTACCACACGCCAGAGCCATGGGCGGTGCCATGCAGTAGCTGGGGGTTGCTTTAGCAACAGCTTTAAAATTCCAGCTCTTGAACACCCGCCACCTACCCTCACGCTCTTTAGTCTGTGCCAACGGACACCAGAGGGGCATCTTACTGGGTATACTGGATGCTTCTTTTACTGGCCTCAGTTCTTTTAAACAGCCCTATAGCTTTTTGCCCGTCAGTGTTGAATTACAAATGCCGATGCAGCAGGGCTTGCCAGTGCAGGCTCAACAACGCCGCTGGCTCGCAGATTGTAAACCATGACTATGTCCCTCTTAACCATTTTGAAAAGAGAAAAACTGACAGCCTCCCAGTCGGTTGAGAATTACATTTGTTTCAATGTAACCTTCCTTCCAACATTATTCAGACATTTGACAGTTTTGTGATTATTTCACCGTAAAATTCTTACATATTGTACCTTTAAAGAAGTCAGGAGATCATGACTGTCTGAAATAATACCACGGTCTGCAGCAAGTTGATCCAATGTAGATGCTGTTTTTCTGCAGCTTAAGGAAAACGTCAGAGCGGCTGACATTAAATGAAAATGCAGAAAATTATCAGTCAGTAGGATTTGCTAACTAGAGACCTCAAATGTCTGAGCCAAATGTCATGGAGAAGCCTGTTATAGTTGACACGTTTTAGTCAAAACCACAAATGTCAGCCTCACGGTGGCACTAGAAAAGGGTTGCGGGACCATTAGGTCCAGGATGTACCAATCTGTACAGATCTTTGGGATTTTACTGGGTTATTTTTGTGACCTGATGGTGAAATCCTCCCAGGATTCATTACCAACGTTTGCAAATGTTAACTATTGACAGTGGCAGTTGAGATGCAACAGGCACGGGGAAAAACTTGGTGAATATAATTCAAAATATATTTTTCGAAGTCTAACTGGAAACCAACACAGTTTGGATAAAAGCCTACCTCAAAGGAAAACCTTTTATCCACTGTGGTCGATTTCCCAAGTCAACATTTTCCAGGAGACAGATAAACCAGAAGCGGTGGCTGGACAACTAGAAGATTTATAAGCCTCTACACAGTGTCGGGGCAGGCGTTTCCTTTCTGGCAGAGAGGGTAGGTAAGAAAGCAAGAGAGACTTAAGAAAAGAAGACCGGGTTCTGTAAGGTTTGTAAAGTTGTAGGAAAGGTATTGCAGAACATCCTTGTGAGCTGTGGCTCAACACGAGCATCCCATCATAATCTGGTCAGATATCAAAAAAACTGAATCAGATGATTATTGTAAGGTCCTGTCAATCATTTCAATGTACATACATTTTCTAGATTGGAGCTTTCGAAGTGCACAACTTTTTTGTACTATTTGAAGGCATGTAGATTAAGTTTAGGCAGCCGGCTGGGAGATTGTCAGTTTTTGTCCTTTCAAAATGACCAAAAAGAGCCTGTGAGGTTGCGTGTCTGCACCAAGTTAATGCTGCGAGCTATATTAATGTCGATGGCTGCGAGGCTGGCATTTGTAATTCCACACCGGCAGGAAAAGTCTCCAAGCCAGTAAATATGAGTGACCTAGAAGTTTTTTCTTGTACCCCTAAGATGCAACAACATTTTTATTTTACTCTAATATCTGATAAAGCAGGCTGAAGGCTAACATGGAGCTAACAATTCTAACAGGGAATTAGATGCACAGTTGGCCCCATAAATATCTCATGCTAATTTTCAATAACCAACAACACCAAATTACACTGAAATGCTTGTGTGAAGTAAATAATGTATCAATCATGGCGTTTTACTTCCTTTAACGAGTCGTTCAGCACTATAACAGCAAGCTAACAGCAAGATGGCAAACAACCACTTCTCCTAATGCCAGAGAAATATTACTGTAATTAATGTAGTATGTGCTCCTTACCGTAATACACTCAATAGTGCTAATACTAGATGTGACAATGTATTTATCTACTTATCAACTTATTGTGTATGACTCGTCTTCACTTGTCATCTAGAATCTTCTGCTGCTGATCCGTAACTATCAACAGCCATGAAACTCATGGAACGGCAGTGAGAACGTGATAACCAAATTTCACCAGAGGATGTCATTCTTTCTTCATTCTTACATGTTGCACCTTTAATCAGGGGTGTGTCCAGGGAGTGGCCTGGGGTAGCACATGCCACCCTTGGA